ATGTAGGCTAACCAAGGACCAACGATAATTTATGTCTGTGCAGCATCGATATGTTTCGACAGCAGTATTTGCAATAACTGTAACTACGGTTTACTGCAACAGTCTGATGACACACTTCAACCAGTGTTTGGAAAAGCACTTGATTTGTAGGACCGCTACTATGGCCAAGGAAATCACGTCCATTTAGGTGAAGTACTGAATGAGTAGTTTCTGAAAAGCGCACAGAAACATGTTCAGAACAAGTCCTGACAGCAGTCCGAGTAGTTCTAAAAAGGGGTGTCGTTTATTTTCTCTTCCGTCATATATACTAGGTAAATATAAACAATGATCAGTTGTTATGTAAAATAATGGTTGCCATTAAGACACAGATCAGCGGTAGTATATGAGCTGATTAATTAAAAATTTTAAACACAGTTTATATAAATAGTAAGAAACGGAGAGACATGAGCATAACTGCAATGAGCACATGAAACTAAAGAACGAATTTCACAACAGTTCCCGGTTCTTGAAGGGCACCCAGGTTCAAATACTACATAAAATTGCGACTGCAATCTTGCATGTACAGTCAAAAGGAAATCGTACAGCTAAACAGCTAGAAATGACTTACTTCGCTTTGAAAAAGTATGCTGACATAGGTCCTGTGTCACGTAACCTTTTCAATCTGATAGAGCGGTTTAAAATAAATTCAATGAAATTTCAAAAGTTTATGTCTATAAAATTCGCCTTGCTGAATGTCGTCTCAACGCTAAGCTGCGTGAAAAATTTCCTTCGCGATGAGTTTTTATAAGGTTAATGCAGTAGTTATCGTAGCCGCTCCGTGACTACGATTCGCAAGAGAAAATGACATGTGTTTCATAAATTCTGGTTTCTACAATGTATTTATCTTGAATTTTGACAAAGGAAATAAATACTCACCGTTTCATTTTTACTGTCATTTCTCATATTCTCATGAATAAAGGTATTCTCATAACAGGTAATAATTCTCAAAGTACGACAGCTGAATGCTCACATGTAAAGTATTTCAGCTGATGAACTTTCGAGGATTGTTACGCGAGGCTTTGCTAAATATATTATGCAATTTTATTTAGAGTGAAGTTTCTGTAGCTTCACTGCTGACCTCTAACAAAATCGTTATCTTAGATTCAAACCAAATTTGAGATTGTCTTCCATTTGGCAAAACACAAACGCATAATAAGAAGGAAGAGCGATTCGAAAGACAAGTACTCCAGAAATTTCCTCTGAACATGCTTAAAAGCTTGACCGATATAAAAAACAAGCGTTAATCCCGTAGAATTTTGTTTACATGATCAAGATGGCGGATGCGCGTTTGTTTGCTTATTGCACCATAACCCAGTGACATGAAACGCCGCTCTATGCAACCTGAAAAACTATGCCGAAGCCTGATATGGAACGCATCGAAAGCGACTACTATATAGAAAGCAAAATGTAACTCAAGCTGATACAAGGAATAACATGCAACCCATACAAATATCGAATGAAGCAAGAGGAAGTGACGGAGAAACTTCGCAAGTGGCATGTATTAGGCGCCTGCCAGACGTTTAATATAAATGATCGCTAAACAAACGATGGTCGTACTATCCTTGAACTCGGAAGTGAACGTTTCGTCAGCGGCGCATCGCGGAAACAAAATTGTTCTTAAAGGATATTTGATTTAGTTTAAAACACAACCGCTACTGGAACTGAAATGAGCGGGTATATAGTCGCTAATCTCGGAGAAAATGATGATTCATTCGAAGACTACTTTAAGTCACTCCGTGTCTTAAAAACTTGCGATAGCGTGTATTCCAGAAACCTCCGCAGTTCTAGTCGAAATGCACTAGTCCGATAGAAGAGATCAGTCGCAGAGCGCCAGATTTACCTTCAAGTGATAGGGAGTTTCAGTTCAGAAAAACTCAATCGCCATTCATCTTCCATGTGAATAAATAAGTACTAGTATGTGGCAAGAACAGGTGTGATTATATTCTATAAAGGCTACATAGCTCTACCATGGTTTTCCGAAAATCACTTCTAGCTGACGGAATGAAAACGTAGATCTGCGCTGTTTCATGAGTTCCATGGATGAAAAGCGGAGCTTGATATCTGTCGTACAACTACAAAGAAGCCTGTCATAACTGCAGTTACAAATTTTCCATTTTTTTCCGTATTAACAGGCTTGGAAGCAAAGAGGCCTACACTCGAATGTGGTACGAAGAAGCGCACAGGGTGACATCGAAAGCAGTGACAAAAGCAAAAGCTGATTCGTGACTAAACGATGAAGTATCACAGTAGAATATCCAGAGGGCAAGCAAGGTACCCTTGAAGACTATTTGCCGCTTCCGAGATGAAAAAATGAGAAGTCTAAGAATCTTGAAGGGCAAATCTGTATGTCCTCTTACCAAAGAAAAG